CAATATAAACAAGCTATACACAAATATAAATACTTATTTTTACTTATTTTGGGTTTTTGTAATAGTTATAGGGTAATATTACATCAGCAATTTTTTTATTACCCTTTAAATTGTTTCCTGGAGATTATCCAAGGTGCTTCATGACCCATAATTGGGTCCCAAGCCCAACTTTGGGAACCAAAGTGCAGTGGTTCCCAAACTTTTCAGCTTTTGACCCACAAAATAACAGTAGCAGAGACCTGTGCCCTCAGATATTTTTGTATGATAAACATTTGTATCAGGTCAACTAAACATGGGCATAGTAACAATATAATAATACTACATTTATCCATTTTAAATACACCAACCTCACTCCTTTGTAACAACTAAGGTGTAATTAATTCAGAAAATCTTTTCAGGACCCCACCTTGATGTTTCAGGACCCCACTTTGGGTCCCGACCCCAACTTTGGGAAACATTGCCTTACAGGGTGGAGCATATTCAGAGGTGATGTTTAGAAAAACGACCTGTAATTATTACTTTATTTACCATTGAGCTTGACCATGTGCATCTCTTATTGTTAAACATGAAGTGTTGTAACAAGATATTTGAAACAGAAACACTTAATAATTAAAATGTTGTTTTTTCTCGTTTTGACTTTTCATCTCTTTATTATGACTTTGAAACTCAAGAGTTTGTATTTCATAATTTTAAGTGAAACTCATAAATATGATCTTTTATTATGACTGAAATTCCTTCTATTAGAGAAATTCATTATTTTCAGCAGCTCTTCTGGTGGAAGCTGTCCCTTCTTCATCTCGCCGGTCCTCCTTAAAAAACAAACATGGCGTCTTTTCCGTGTTGGGGGAGGATAAAAGTCATGTCGGTCCCGCCCCGGGTGCCACGGAGGGAAGTTTACTGTCAAAGTACACGGACATCATGGACTGTTGATCAAGACCGGGTCCAAGGGTCCAACCTGGGTCCACTTCACGTGTTCCGCTCCGGACCACAGCAGCATTCTGCAGCAGGACCTGAAGCTGAGACTTAGAAGAAGTTCGGCCGAAGCTGTGCAGTCATGTCCGGGTCCAGCAGACTGATGAGTCCGTTTCAAACACCGCGTTGTTTGTCTGCTGCAGCTCCGGCGGGAAAAGCCAAACTGACTCACCCCGGAAAAGCCATTCTGGCAGGTAAGTGGTTGTAACTGGGTGACAGTGGGTTTGTGGCTCCCGAGACACACACACACACACACACACACACACACACACACACACACACACACACACACACACACACACACACAC